AGCCCCAACTCTGCATTTGTTCTCAATCAACCAGGAAATTCTTGAAGGAGCGAGATGGCTGGAAGACATCCTCTTGGATGGAAGTGCCAGCTCTCCGCCACTGGATCTGCCATGCCTGATATTTTCCCATTCTGCTCACATGAAGAAATAGAAGGGATGTTCACTTAACTTTCAGGGGTGCTGATTGGAAAGGGCTGGCTACTATAATCTCAGGATCAAAAATAATCTTCATAAACTGGACCAATATAAGGCTAAATCTTAGGTTATTAAATGTGAAATGTTCTATGTCATTAAGTACTAAGTTTGACAGTTGATATCTCTGACATCTCACTTTGATGCTTCTTGTTTTATTTTTATTGTGAAGGTACATCCTCATTTTTTCAAATGCACAGTTTGGCTTGTGATTATCTTTCAAATATCTTTTCAGAGCAATTTTTGTGAAACCATGGATAAGTCAAAAACTTGTGGTATTTTTTTTATTATGAGTTCTATTGTGGAACAAATGCTTCACAGACTGGTTGAAATATCAATGAAGTGTTTGAGAAGGATGTGGCTAATGAACACACACTACGTTGATGGTCTGAGGAGTGACATTCTGGTGATTTTAATCTGGAAAATGAGCCACGCAGTTGACCTGAGACCAAGGTGGATAATGAAGAGCTGAAAGCTGTAGTGGAAGTGAATCCATCTCAACCTACACAAGAATTAGCAGCAAGGTTACTATTCCAACAATACTGGACCATTTGAAACAAATCAGCAAGATAAAGAAGCTGGATAGATGAGTATCACATGAATTAAACAAGCGTCAGCAGAGAAATGATCTCCAGGCTTGACTTTATTTGCTGTCATGACATAAAAGCAAACCATTTCTACACCATATTGTTACATGTGGTGAAAAATGGATTCTTTTTGACAATTGCAAGCATTCAGCACAATGGCTGGGTAAAGATGAAGCACCAAAACAGGGTCCAAAACCAAATAAATAGTCATCAAAAAAGCTAATGGTGTCTATTTGGTGGTCCAGGCTGGTATTATCCAATACAGCTTCAAGAAACCTGGTCAATTGATTACAGTTGATGTTTAATGCAACCAATTAGATGAAATGATGAGGATGCTTGCAATTAAGCAGCCAAGATTGGTCAATAGAGACAGGCCAATTCTCTTGCAAGACAACACTCCACCCCATGTCGCATAAACAACACTGCTCAAACTACAGAGGCTGGACTTGGAAACTCTCTGTCATCTACCATATTCACCAGAACTTGCACCAATTGACTACTACTTCTTCCAGGCTTTGGACCACTTCTTGGCAGGAAAAATATTCAATTCTCAAGAAACGGTAGAAAATGCTTTTCATGATTTCATCCCCACTCGTTCTCCAGGCTTCTTTGCTGCTGGCATAAACGAGCTACTGTTGAGATGGCAAAACCGTGTGGATAATTTAGGCACATACTTGGATTTATTGTACTGCTTCTTGTTTGAGATATAATAAATTACACTTTGATTCAAAATCAGACATTTCGTATTTACATTGAGCGTCATAAAATTAACTAGTATATTTCCTTGATTCTAAGAGGCTTTCCATCACCTTTTATTGTTTCTGAACTTTAGATGCCTTTTAAAATCTATGTCAAAGGCAACTAGCTAATTAATCGGTAGAACAGTTATAAATATTAGTAAATATGCCTGCATATAGTTAACGGTTCAAGTAATTGTCACCTTATTTTTTTCCTATACCATTGGCTCCACTATACAAGAATACATTTTTTTATTGAGGCATAATTTTTATACACTATGTTTTTTCCTTTTTATTGTGCAGCTTCATGAGTTTTGACAAGGCATATAGTCATATAACCAACACCAAAATCAAGATTCAGAACTATTTCACCCCCCAAAAAAGTTCCCTTGTATGTAGCTGTTAGTAGTCAACCCCGCCCCCAGCCCCTGGTAGTCATAGAGCTGTTTTCTGTCTTTATAGTTTTGTCTTTTCCAGAATGTCATAAGAATGTAATTATATTTATGTAAACTTTCCATAAGACTTCTTTTGCTTAATGAATGTGCTTGAAGTTAATCCATGTTGTTGCATGTATTCGTAGGTTGCTCCTTTTTATTACTGGGTAGTATTCCTTTGTAGGAATCTAGCATGGAATGCTCATCCATCCATCATTTAAAGGACATTTGTGTTGTTTTCTATTTGGGGCAATTATAAATAAAGCCATTATAAACATTCATGTACTGTTTTGTGTGCGAGCATATCTTTTCATTTCTCCTGGGCAAATATTTAGGACTAAGGCTCCAAGTGAAGTCACGTGTTAGGTATATATTCAAAAAGTTGAATTCAAAAAGTTTGAAACGTGTTAGGTGAATATTCAACTTCTTGAATATACACCTAACCTTTTGAACAGTTTTAGGAAACTGCTAAACTGTTTTCCAAAGTTACTGAACCAGTTTGCAATCCCACCAGCAATGCATGGGAGCTTCACATCTTGGGATTATCAACATTTTTTAGCCATTCTAGTATGGGCAGATTGATATTTCACGGTGGTTTAAATTTGCATTTCCCTAATGACAACTGATGTTGAGCATCTTTTCCTATATTTATTTGTCAATATGTCTTCCTAGGTAGAATGTCTGTTCAAATTTTTTGTGGGTTATTTTTTTATATATACTCGTGGTAAGTTCTTTATCTGATATATGTTTTATAAATATTGTCTCCTCTACCTAGGCTGTGCTTTTTCTTTTCATTTGCTTAACAATGTCTTTTCTTAAAAAAAAAAGAACTGTTTAATTTTGGTGAAGTAATTCAATTTAAATTGAATTTAAATTGAAGTAATTCAATTTAAATTTTGGTGAAGTAATTCAAATCTTTAATGTGTCGGATTTTTAGTGTCATATTTTAAAAAATATTTGTCTAATATGAGGTCACAAAGATTTTCCTATGTTTTATTCTAGAAGTTTTATAATTTTATATTTAGGTCTGTAATCCATTCTGAGTTTATTTTTGTATATGGTGTGAGGTATAGATTGAAGTTACGTATATTTATACATAGTGGGTTTTATTGTTATTTTCCTGCAAAGATAATATTAAGTCAAGGATACATCTTACAAATAATAGACCTTTCAACTGAAATAAGTACTAGACATAGAAGACCAATGAAACCTGGTTCAGTTTTTGTAAGAAAGACCTAGAAGAGAAGACGATCTCCATGCTCACTAAATACCAACAGTGTGTCTGATCTATTAAAATAATTTGAGATTGTGACATTCAGTTGAAAGGAAACACTAATCCTGCTGTTTTCCATACTGGTCAAGCAATGCTTGTATTTCTGATAAGTTTTTGTGTGATTTTTTTTTAAAAGAGGGGCAATGACAAAACAAAGAAGGATTGGAATGATGTTGGTGGGTTTGGCCTAGGGGTGGAGGGCAGGAAGGTGAGGGAGGTCAGGATGTGACCATCATTCCCGATAAACAAAAAAGAAGGCTTCATTCTTTGGACAGGCATTCTAGTGTTAAGAACTCAAACTTTGATGTCAGCCAAATTGGCTTAAAATTCTAATGCTGTGTCACTCTGGCTGTTGGACAATAAGTAACTTGTTTAACCTCTCTGATTTTTTGTTTCTATATCTGCAAACTGTGGATAAGAAAACTCCCTCTCTCATAATTTTTTATTGTGAACAATTAACATAAGATAATCCACACCAAAAGCCCAGTTCAATGCTTGGTGTTTGGTATGTGCTTCAAGAAGAGCTAGCTTTTTTTTTTTTTTTTTTTTTGCTATTTATTATTTATCCACTCAAGTTTCATTCTTTAAGCTTCCACCATGTATCAGGAAGTGGGGGTATCAAAATGAGATAACAATCCCTCAAGAGGCTTTACCTAGTGGAAGTGGAAATTGGACCAATATAGACAAGTGAGTCAATATGGAATGCAGGGTTAATTGTTTGCATCCGAGTTATTGTGTGCATGTGTGTATGTGGGGTATACAGAGTGAGATATGGTTTGAGGTTGTGTACATTTATTGTGGTGGGATTTTTTTTTTAATTTTCCAGTGAAGATGATATTAAATCAAGGGTGCATCCTATAAATGATGGAATCTTCAACTGAAAGAAGTATGATAAATGCAAGACTAGTGAGGCACCTGAGTCAGCCCAAGGGTCAGAGGCCAAGCACAGCTTTCTAGAGGGAGAGCTGATCCTTGAGCTAAGACCTGGAGGGAGCTGGGGAAGGATGTAGAAGGTGGTCCCCACTGAGCGATCAGCCAGTCTCCCAGGGCATGGTGGTGAAGAGCATGGATTTTTTATTTTTTATTTTTTTTGAGACAGAGTCTCACTTTGTTGCCCAGCCTCGAGTGCTGTGGCGTCAGCCTAGCTCACAGCAACCTCAAACTCCTGGGCTCAAGCAATCCTCCTGCCTCAGCCTCCCAAGTAGCTGGGACTACAGGCATGCGCCACCATGCCCAGCTAATTTTTTCTATATATATTAGTTGGCCAATTAATTTCTTTCTATTTATAGTAGAGACGGGGTCTCGCTCTTGCTCAGCTGGTTTTGAACTCCTGACCTCAAGCAATCTGCTCGCCTCGGCCTCCCAGAGTGCTAGGATAAGAGCATGGATTTTAGAGCTGCACAAAATGGTTTTGAATGATTCTGGGAAATGGTTGACCTCTTTGACTCAGTTGTATCACTTGTGAGGCATTAATAATTTCTCCGTCACAGATAGTTGTAACGGTGAAAGGAGACACGAGTGCAGCTCGGAGTGAGCACTCAGTGCTGACTGTTTTCATATTAATATTTATCCGTGGAACTCAAGCAATCCAGTCAGTCTGGAGCAGAGGGTGAGGCAGAGTGGCGGGGAATCAGACTTGAGTGGTAGCAGGGCCGGATGATCAATGGGCGGGGGTGGGGGGGGGTTGCACCACAAGGAATGTGGCTCTTATCTTCTAGGTAATGATTAGCTAGAGGAGGCTCTTAAGCAAGGCACACCGAATTTTAGAAATAACTGCTGAGCAATGGATAGGACAATAAATTACAGGGGGTCCGACTGGATGCAGGGAGTGAGGTTAGGGGATGTGCAGATTCGAGGCTAGAGATGGAGCCTGGGAGAACTGGGACAATGACAGAAGGACCAAGAGTAGGGGTTGGAAGTGAAGAACATTTCAGAGGCTTGTGGCTGTGAGAGGTGAGTGGGAGTGGAGGTGGAGATGGCTTCCCAGTGTCTGACTGGGGCGAGATGGGGGAGGATGGAATGGAATGGTGCAGGGAAAGACATGAGTTCACATCCATCTTGAGGTGCCTGTGGGCCACTGGAGTGGAGATGCATGCAGGCAGTTAGAATTTGGGTCTAGATCCTAAACAAAGGGTCCCAGGTGGTGATGCTCAGATGGCAGATGTCACCAAATTGGCAGACACAACCTTTAGTGGGGATGAGATTGCTCAGAAACAACTGGTTGAGATGCAGCCCAATGGCCTGTGTTTATAGTCTTCTCTGAGCGATTGAGCTGGGATATGTTATTTAACCACTTCTAGCCTCAGTTTCCTTATCTGTAAAAGGAGAGTCAAAGTACCTGTGTCCTTATCTGGGAATGAAATGTGTATCTATATGCAAAGTGCTTACAGTAGTGCTGGACACAGAGCAGGTCCTCAATGACCTTGACCACCACTTTTACAAGAACAAGAGCAGAGAGCTGAGGGAAGGCGCCAGGAAGGAGCTGCAGGCGAGGGGGAGAGGACTGAGGAAGAGTGGCCATGACAGATCCTGACAAGGAGGGTCTTCCAGAAAGGAGGGAAGGGAGACAATCTCGAGAACCTGGTGATGTGGAAGCTAAGACAGGAGACCCTTTGGAGGAAGAGTGGGTGCTGGGCAGTTTCACAGGTTCTCCAGGGGGAAACTGAGAAGGATTAGGTAACCGAGAAGCCATGGGCATGCATCTTCGGTGGGGTAGGAGGCTGGGGGCAGAGGCTGGAGGAGAGGTGAGAACTGAGAAAAGAGAGTCAAATAAAGGCTTAGAAAAGAAAGAGAAGAAGAGATCTGTATTGAGAGACATTTAAAGCTGTTGTATAGAGCAAAGCATGTCATCTCACGTAGCACAACACGTCCAGGCGGGTGTCATCAGCCTCATTTTACAGCTCACCAGATCGAGGCTCAGAGAGGTTGAAAGACTTGCTGGAGGCCACACAGCTGGTAAGAGTGGCATCTGATCTTAGACTGCCTTGGGCTTACACTCTAAATCCAACAGGCGGAGGAATAAGAGGACAGGTGTGTGCTTAAAATTAGAAAGAATGTTTTAGCCATTTCAGATACCTAACAATGGACTAAACCGTATCACAAAGTAAGGAGGCCCCCGACACAGATAAATATATAGCCCTTAGGAGGCACAACCACTTTATATTGTGCGTGTATATATTTAAGTGTTTGCATCCCTCACTGGAGCTCGAGTTTCTTGAGTTTATTAATTTTTGGAATGCCCTGATTTCCCACAGTGCCTGGGATATAGTGGGAGCTCCATAAAGCTGTGCTTAGAGGGCATTCCTGTACCAACAGGTGAGACCGGGTATCTGTACTGCAAGACCCTCCTCTGATCTAAGCCTCCAGGAATCTCTGAATCCTCTGAGTCACAAGTGTGAAATCTCCAGCCGGAATCCGCCGTGAGTATGGGAGGCTGGGAGAGAAGCCAGGCAGACACCAGCGGGACGGAGGGAGGAGGGAGGCAGGGTCAGAGCCAAGGCCGAGAGTCCAGGTCAGGGCGAGCCCCAGCGTGCAGGCACGGACGGGGCGGTGGAAACCCAGCGCACGGAGGGTTCACCACAGGCATGTCAATTTCAGAGCAGGGCCCCAGATGGGACAGGGGCCCGGCACAGCAGGGGTGACACTGAGTCCACCAAGATCTCAGGCTTCGCTGTGTGGGCTAGGCCGGCCAGTGGCTCCCACTGCAAGGGGCTGGGCGGCGTTATCAACTTCCCCAGTGATTTCGAGTGAGTCAGAGGGTGGGTCTCCAGGGATACTGGAGCGGGAAGGAAGCAGGGGACTTGGGGAGCCTTACTCACGGACAAGGCACGACAACAGTGCCGCTGAGAGTCATCGCACGAATGCTTCAGAGCGAAGGGTCAAAACCAAGGCACGTCATAGACTTTACAAGATGCGGTGCTCGAAGCAAACCAGCAAAACGTGTGTGATGATCCTGACGGACACAGAATAATGCCAAAGCCCAGAGAGGTTGAGCGTCTCAGCTAGGACCGCACAGCCAGCAAATGGGGAGATTGGAATTAAGCTCAGACTCCCAGGGTTAGGGAAAGAGCAGGGAGTCTCTGAGGTCATACGACTTCTTAAAATTGTTCCTTTCTCTTCAGAGATATCAACACCAGAGAAGACACTGGTTTGAGACTGAGGCAGCCTTTTTTGGGGCTGGGGAAGTCTCTTGGAGGAAAAGGAAGATTGAGTACGCTGGGTTGTGTTCTTTGATTCCAGGTGCCAGTCCGAGGGCCCTGCCGCACCTCTGGGAGTGGTTGGAGCCACTCTCAGAAGTCGCAGCAGTGTTGGGCATCACGGAGGGGACGTGTCACAGGGTGGCAGAATGGTGACAGCGGTGTGTGTGCCGTGTCATCTTTCTCAAAGGTGCCGTGCGGAACCGGTCCTTTGTCATACAGCAGGGCCCTCGTGGGAGCCGGATTCCGAGACTTCAGGACAGACGGCCTCTCTGGTTGGCTTTCCAAGCGCCAGACCTGGAGAATGACCTCAGGTCCCTGGAGAAGGCTTTGTTCTTTTCCCCCTCCCCCCAGCCTTTGTTCTTGGCAGAGCTAATTAGGCTCAGTGGTTAATTAACAGGTCCCAAAGCGAGGGAGAACAATGGCAAAAGCCCTGGTGGCTTTGTCCCCCTGACTCCCCTCTTCCAGGAGGTGGGTCATCCGGGCTGCTTTGATGGGACTAGCTGGCCTGTTGGAAAAGTCCACCTGGGAAGGGCCTGCGGGCAGCCCCAGCTAACAGCCCGTGAGGAGCCGAGTCCCTTGAGAACGCTAGTGCCACCAACGGCCACCGCAGTGAGCCTGGCTGCAGTTCCTTTTCCACTGTAGCTCCCGCAGGAGAGCCCTGGCCAACATCCCCACTGCAGTCTTACGAGAGACCAGGAAGCAGAGACCCCGCCTCGGCCAGGCTTGGTTTCCGACCAACAGAAACTGTAAGATAGGAAACGTGTGTGGATTAAGCCACTGAGATTTGGCGTAATGTGTTCACACTGCAGGAGTCGTTAATAGCACACCCTAGATTAACTGATTTCACGCGTGCATCATTTCTCAGAGAGGTTAAGTAACTCCTGCCAGATCACACAGCTACCGATTCATAGACTAGATATTTGAACTCACATCAGAGGTGCTTCTCAGAAGAGGATCAGGATCCAGGATCCTACACAGTCTGCTAAGACTTCTGGGCTTCAGTTTGCTGGAATGATCCCCTTGCTTTCATTGTCTGATGTGAGGGAGAAGTTAACCACCTGGTTAAGAAGGTAGTTAAGCAGGTGGTTAAGAAGAAGTTAACCACCTGGTTAAGAGGTTAAGAAGTTAACCTCGCTGACCACCAGGTTTTTGCCAGAGACTTTGCATGTACTTTCACATCCAACTTTCCCAAGATGAGGTGGGCATCACTGTACCCATGTATTGGATTTTCTATGGTGGGTTTTCCAGATACTGATCAAGCTGCTCTGTAAAAAAAATATTCTATTGCTCAATATTTTTGGGAAACACTGAACTCTTGGAAATTCACTATGCGTGTGAGTCCATTAAAGGCTCAGATGAACTGCAGAAACCTGCTTCCTGTTTTCTCATATGTTCTAATTTTTGTTAGACCGTGAAAACTTTCATTCATCTAAGGACAGCTCACTTTCCAAGGAATATTCCACAAAAAATACTTTAGAAATGCTGGCTTATAGGAAATTTTTATACTTGTGTATATATTTTTTCAACCAAACCTCAAAACTTTGTAATGACAGAGTAACAGTTTCCATTTTAGGGATAGGAAAGCTAAGTGTCAGGGAGTTGTGAAATCATCGTCAATTAATGTTCATCCTTTGGGTTGTAACTGATCTCTGCAATATTTGATGTGGTCAGTCACTCCTTTTCTTCTTCCTCCCTCCCTCCCTCCCTCCCTCCCTCCCTCTCTTCCTTCCTTCCTTCCTTCCTTCCTTCCTTCCTTCCTTCCTTCCTTCCTTCCTTCCTTCCTTCCTTCCTTCCTTCCCTCTTTCCTTCCTTCCTCTTTCTTTCCCTCTCCATCTCCTCCCTCTCCCTCTCTTTCTCTCTCTCTCTCCTGTGGTCCACAAGAAAATTGTAAGGAATTCCAAAAAAGATTTCTTCTATGACCTTGCTCCACTCACTGTCTGTCTTGTTCTCTTTCTATTTTTCAGACCAGTCCTCCTCTCACTGTCCTTTCCTGAGTGTGCCTTCTCTATCCTGTCCTCAAATGTCTGCATTTCTGTAGTCGTCCTCCTTCTGCCCACTCTGGTGTGTCCTCCCTGACTGACCACAACCCCCATAGAGCTTCCCCTGCCCCTGAACGGTCCAGTCCTCTTCCCAGACCCTCCCTTGGCTCTAGGTCCTGCTGCACAACTTCTTACCAGGTGTCCCTGCTTGGACACGCTTCCAGTGCTGCGTTCAAGCTGCACCAGCACCCTCCTCCCACACCCACCTGGAAGCCTTCCTCGTCCACTGTGAGCCCTTGCTAATCTGGGTGACATCTAGTCCCCTTGCTAAGCTGGAACCTGGGTGGTGTGCTGACTTCTTTCCTCCTAATCAGTTTGATCCACATTTTAACAAACCCGCATCAGGCAGTTCCGGAAGTGGCTCCTTCCCCCCCTCCCCCACTGTCCTTGTCCCTAATTAGGGCCCTTGCCGGCTGTTGGTCGGTTTCCGGTGGGCACTCCATTCCGGACAGCCCACCAAGTCTTCCTTCCTCTGGAATTTTTCCCCACACCGGCAAATCTGACCCTATAGACTGTCTTTCCTTCCTCTGGGCAGGTCCCCCGTTACCTCCAAAATCAAGTGCATGTTCTCCCACACGGAGTGTGAGGAGGTCCTTTCATGATCTCATCTCTGCTTACCTCCCAGACCAGCCTCACCTCCCAGACCTGCCTGCCTGTCTCCCAGGGGTGCCAGGAACTTCTCCACTCTGCCTACAACCCCCCTTCCCTCAGCGTGCACACTCCTTATCTTTTTGTTCACTCACAGACAATTCCTGCTTCAAAATTCTGCTTGGTAAGTGATTAAATGGTGACAAAGCATGGAGCCTCATAGTATCATCCTGGGGAAAATTTGTAGCAGGTATCAAACATTTTTTTTAAAAAGTGCCTACCTTTTGTCTCTGTAAATTCATCTCTGAGAATTCAGGCTTGAGAACTAATCTAATACATGAAACATTCTTTAGCCCCAGAGATGTCCGTCACAGTGTTATTTATAATGAACTGTGTTCTCAAGAACAGGAGAACGATCAAGTTAATTATTCGATATTCGCTGGAACGTGATGAATAGAAAAGTGATGTGGCAATGTTGTACCTGCTATAAGTTTAAGTGACACAAACAAATGGGAGACAAGTTATTATACGTTTTTATTTTTTTATTTTGATTGTTAAATATGTGCAAAAAAGCTGGAGGAAAAAGCACACAGCACATCACTGATCCCAGGGGCTAGAGCCAGACTGCCTGTTCTTTTCTCCCCGTGACTCAGTTTCCTTATCTATAAAATGCACATCCTAATGCCCAGGTTGGAGAGCTCTTGTGGGAATTAAATGAGTTTAGAGTAATGCCCATAGAATAGTGTTTGGCAACTAGTAAGTACCTAACAAATATTAATTATTATCATTGCATATCTATATGGCTATGCCACTGAATTCCTTGAGGGTCAGAATGTATCTGATTTTGTTTACCACCTTAGTTCCATATATATATAGAAGGACTGCAAGAAATATTGTTGCTGAATCACTGAGTTAAGTAGCCTGGAATCTAAGGTTCTCCAGAAACCAAATGGGCACCTAAGATCTCTCCCTAGGAAGATGGGGGGCCTGAACCGAGACCCTGGAAATTTTAGGTCGTTGGCAAGCCGGCAGCAGACAGAGGCTTGCAGACTTGGCCAAGTGGGAAGCACGCTGCCGCCCTTGAATTATGGTTCCTCAGTCTTGCCTAGCTCCAGGTGAGTGACCAGGAGTTTTAGCTGTGATCATCTGAGATGTGACCTTGACTCTTGCTGCCCCAGGAACAAAGGGCAATTTATGGCTCTTTTGTGAAAGGCAGTTTAAGTGGAAGAAAAAGGCAGGTTCATCCAAGGTTGGGGGACCTGGCCACGGGTTCGATTTATAAAATAAATGTCCTACCTGTGTCTCGGTTTCCTTATCTGTAATATCCCAACCTTCAGCTGGTGGTCCCCAGCTCTTTCTAAAACATTGCTATGGGATCATTTTGCTTTGGGATCATTTCGAAACATCTTGCTCCCCTCCCCACCCCCCCTGCCCCCGCAGGTCTGTGGTCTACAATATAAATTTCATGCTCTGAAAAAAAACAGTCTCTGTGAAGCCAACTTCAAAGCTTGGGCACGCAGGCCCCTTGCAGAAGTGCTGGGAGCAACAATGGGCTGGAAGCAGGGCTGGGCTGGGGCTGCCCGGCGGGTACTCTTTAACCTGGCAACTATTGTGTTCAAAGTCATTGCTGCAGCCCTGGTGTAACAATGCATTTGGCAACCCAGCGAGGTTGGCTTTCACAGCGAGGTCGGCTTTCATAGCAAGGTCGTTCTTGCCAGCAGTACCAGGCTTCAGACCCTGGGCATAAAAGCTTCAAATGACACTAAATAAAAATAACAAAAACTTTTTTTTTATTAAAAAATAAATATAGTATAACCACATCAAAGGAAAAATTTACATAAAAAAGTAAACATCTTCTTGTAATCTCAGCCCCCTTCCCTGTCACTGTGATTTTTGGATGCTTCTACTTTTGAACTTTGGGTGTTTCTGTTTTCCTTTTTTATTTAATATCATTGTAATCAATGCATAAAAGTTTGCCTCTCTGTTGCTTTACTGAACGTTATAATAGGCGTAAAGTCTATCATCTTTTCACCTATTGTTTTAATGGGTATAGAGCATTTCCTAACGGCGATATAGCATAACAAATTGGAACATTTTTTCTGGTTTTGGAGGACAATGTGCTATTATAAATAACACTGTAATGAATATCCCTGGACTATAACATGTTTTACTGGGTCAAAATTTTTAACTTTTTTTTTTTTGGCATTTTGGTAATGCTACCTTTATTGATTAATTTGTTTGTTTGTTTGTTTCTTTCTTTTCCAAAAGAGAGACTCCTACTAAATGTATTGCCTCTAGACATCTGTGAGACTGCAGTTTTCAGTTAAGATGATTTTTTTTCCTCCCAATAGTTTCTTTTGAACATTTTCAAACACACAGAGCAGTTGAAAGAATTTGATAATGCACGTGCACATGACAATTCGGGGTGACTTTTAAACACAAGCCTATCTTTGAAATGCTGAGCAGAAAACTAGTAGAGAAATATGCGTCTTCTTTCAGCTAGTGCTTTTTGGACATAACAATCATGGCAATTTATTATTATAACATTTTATAGCCTTAAGAATTTTTCAAAATGTCATCAGGTTTATTTTATTCCTTGATCCTAATCCTCAAGTTATAGATAAGGCAGGAGTTATCATATGTCATTTATGTATTTATAGGTGATGAAACAATGAACAGAGAGGTTAGGGGACCTGCATAAGGCCACACAGCAAGAGACGTGGCACTGTTATCATGGTGCTGAGCGCTAAGCTGAGCCATACTTTTATAAAAATGTTTCCCTTTTCCTTTCTCCTTATCAAATTCCACTGTCTTATGGGAAACCCTGAGCATGTGTCACCATAGTCCAGTGGCATCTTTGCAGGACAGGAGGGCAGGAGCAGGCGTCGTAGATAGCCCAGTGACTGTATGTGCCCACATGAGGATTAAAGACTAGCTACAAAAGGAGTTCAAAATCTCCACCCAATTCTGACACTTTTCTAAAGACACAATTTAGCTGGCAAAGTAGGACTAATTTGGACAGCAAATAGACCCAGAAAGTAGGTGTGCGCATGCATTGGGTTCCTTTCCTGGAGAGAAGAACCTGGGAAGAATCTAAATGACATCTAAACCACAATTCTGGAAGTTCTAGAGGGCAAAGGATTCACCCTGGAAAAGAACCCTCCATCACCATCCTCCCCAAGTCTCATGCCTGGGACCAGCAAAGGCCAAAGACCTTGGCATGGCTCAAATGTGAACTTTCACCACTAATGGTGGTTTCTCCAGAACAGCTCAGTGCTCAAGATTTAAATTTCCCTCTCTGGGGATGCAGACTTCAAGGCTCAGGAACATGACCGGAGGTGGGACTGCGTGCCCCGTTCTGACACGGCAAAGTGCCCTGGGACCTGGGGTGAAGGAACCTTCCCCAAATCTCACAGGCTGCACTTTCTCAACTTCCTTTTCTTTGCTCCTCCATAAGAGCAAGCAAACTGTTTCTGTCCTTGCTCTAATAACCCATTTAATGCACCTTGAAACTGTCGCCTGCAGAGGCCTTGTCGTTCCATTCTATGGATGATGAAACTGAGCCTGGAAAGCATTTGGTAAGATGACCGTGGCGACTCTACAGACCTTTCTTTTTTAACCAGACCACCACGGGTCCCACCCTGCACGCAAGGAGAGGCTGTGCTTATGCAACTTGGTGGCATTCCTCCAGCC